AATTAAAAATTACTTAACGAGAAAAGCATGAGGACTTTGAGCAAAAGTATAAAAACTTCACAAAGCTTGATATTACAAGGACATATTCCTGAGTGCATGCATACATTCAGCACAATCCAACAAAACTTCTTTTTTTCAAATTGAACAGAATTTGAGAAACCAATTATATGAGTAAAGGGTTGAGAGATGCCAAGAGAGTTTTAGAAAATGATGTATCAACCAAAACGACACTGTGTGGGGAGGGAAGGCGGCACTGGGAGACACACACATACACACCACACACCACACACACACCACATACACATACACACACCACACACACACACACCATACACACACACCACATACACCACACACACCACACACAATCATACACCACACACACACCATACACACACACCACACATCACACGCACCACACACACATCATACACACACACCACACACAATCACACACCACACACACATCACACACACACCACACACACATCATACACATACACCACACACACATCACACACACACCACACACACACACACACCACACACACACCACACACACATACCACACCACACACACACACACACATACCACACACACATACACATACCACACACACAATCACACACACACACACCACACACACACAATCACACACACACACACACACACACACACACACACACACACCATACACTACTGTTCACCAGACAGCATGGACTGTAAGGAATTTCTTAGGAAAACGGTAGGATTTGTGCAGGATGGGAACAAAGGAAACAGACACATTGTAATAAACCTTGCATACCTGAAGAAGGCATCTGACCACAGCAGATACATGGTGGACGACTTGGTAACGAAAAGCAAATGAATAAATTGAAAAAAGCTACCCTTACCAGCAGGAAGTAGTTTGGAAAGAACAATGCCCAAATTCCCAAATATTGTCTATAAATGTTTGTTTTCATTTAAATGGACTTTGTTATATAAAATAAATTTTAAAAAAATTAGAAAAAGAAAAAAGGTAGCTCTTACTTCACACCCAGAGAAGTAAAGTCTACATGAGTCAAACAGATCAATGAAAAATATATATATATAAACCTGTAGAGCATCATGAAAAAGGTGGAAAAAATTATAAGCTTGAGAATTTATGGCATTAAATAATAAGAAGATAAAGGAGACAACTAGCAGGGTCTCAGGTAGCCCAGGCTGGCCTCGAACTCAACCTCTTATGTGGCTGAGATGACCTTGCACCCCTGATCATCAAGTACTAGGACTGCAAGCATGTGTCACTGTGCCTCTTGTATGTGGTGCTGGGAATCGAACTCTGCCACGTGAGCTTCATGCCTAGCCCTAACCACGCTGTTACTGAGAGAGAAAAAAAAATATTTATGTCAAACAGACTTAAGCTGGGCATGGTGACACACATCTTTAATCTCAGCTTTTGGGAAGTAGAGGCAGGAGGATCTCTATGAGTTTGAAGCCAACCTGTGAGTTCTAGGCCAGCCAGTGCTACATATTGAGACCCTGTCTCAAAACACCAAAATAAGAGATAAATGGCCGAGTAAGAAAACAGATAATAACGATAAATGCATTTTTCACATAAGAAAAAATGTGGACAGCTTTAAGACCAGGGAAGAAACACTCTCAGACACTCTCAGTGGAAACTATGCAAATGTTAACTAAAATGATTCTTTTTGTCACATAGAGTTGGCAGACACTGAACAGACTAACAGTGACATCGTTGATGGCATGTGCAAACATACCCATACACTAGCATGGCTATGTAAGTTGCCTGGAGGGCTGAGAGCTTTAATTTGACAAGTCTTTGAATTTGCACATTCTGCTCAACTGTCTGAAGCCTGGAAGCATGGACCAAGTCTTTAAATGTCCGTCACTTCGGGGAAGGATGAACCGGTGGCACCCTGGGTGGAAGCTGCTCAGAATTGCCATGAGTGGCAGAGAGTGCCGGTGCAAAGAAGACTCTGGGGACAGGAGAGGTGGTTCAACGACCAAGACCTTACTGCTCTTGAGGGGGACACCCATGTCTAGCTACTGCATTCACAATTACAATCACATCCACTCACGCACGCACGCACACGAACACTCATGCACACACACACACACACACTCACGAACACACCCGTGCACACACACCTCATTAAAAACCACAATTAAGAAAATCTTTCCAAAAGACCGGCTTCTAATGTGTTTATCGCTGTTTTTAACTTTTGTGTGTGTGGCAGGGTCTCCCACTGGCCTGGGCTACACAGGCTAGGCGGTTTGTCCGGCAAGCCCCAACGATCTGAGATCTTGGTCCTAGCATGGGGATTACAAGCCTGTGCTACCATGCCTGTGTTTTCGTGTTCTGGGGATGAGACCGAGCCCCGTGCTTGCAAAGAAAGTGCTTTACCAACTGAGTTATCTCCCAACTCCTGGTCTTTAATTTTCCCCAGTGCACTCTGGGCAGGCCGATCCCCTGCTCTTGGCACACTCTGGCTGAAACCAAGCCTTTGCACTTAGAATGCCGCGACTGTTGAGTGCCAGCCCCTCTGTGTCACTTACATTGGGAATGAGAGAGGTGTGGAAGAACACAGACCACATGATGCCAAACACGGACAGACTAGCTGAGTCACAGTTTTAAGTGTACTGTATGTGTACGAACGCACAAAGACGGCTGACCCGGAGAGTTTAATGTCAACTTGACACAAACTAAAGTCGTCTGACAGGAGGGAGCCTCGATTAAGAAAATGCCTCCATAAAATCAGCTGTAGGCGAGCCCATAAAGCATTCTCTTAATTAGTGATCAATGGGGGAGGGGCCCAGCCCACTGTGGGCGGGGCCAGCCCTGGGCTGCTGCTCCTGGGTTCTATAAGAGCGCAGCAGGCTGAGCAAGCCAGTACGCAGCTCCCTCCACGGCCTCGGCCTCAGCTCCTGCCTCCAGGTTGTTGCCCTGCCTGAGTTCTGCCCTGACTTCCTTTGGTGATGGACAGTGATGTGGACGTGTGAGCCACATAAACCCTGTCCTCCCCAAAGTTGCTCTCATCATGGTGTTTCATCATCATGATCCCCCAAAACATACAAAATACACGTATGGTCATTTTGGGGGATATAACACTGAGTTGGATTTTATTTTTATCGTATTTAACTGTTATTTTATGGATATGTGTGTGACTGTGGTGGTCACAAAAGAGCATCAGATCCTCGGGAGCTGGAGTTACAGGAGGATGTGAGCTGCCAGATGGATATGGGAGCTGGGAACCGAACCCAGGTCGTCTGTAAGAGCGGCCAGCGCTCTTAGCTGTCAAGCCTTCTCTTCATCCTGTCTGACCGCTTTCTGAAATGGGGGAAGGTGTCTCACTGTCCAGGCTAGGCTGGAACTCAGTATGTAGTTCAGGCTAGTCTCTAACACATGATCCTCCCACCAAAACCTTTGGAGTACGGGGATTACAAGCAGGTGTCACCATGCCCGGTGGGAAATGCTGTTAGTATGTGTTAATATTTGTGTATTATAGTTCACTCGTCTGCTTTGCCTTATATTAATTTATTTATATATGCCTAAAGTAACAGTTTAAATATGTACATTTTGTTCCATTCCTGGGGTGGGGGTGGACTGAGAACTACCCTGTGAGAGGGAACTGCAGGGTTGATACCTCTGGCAGTGTAGCAGCATCCCCACCTAGTGGACATAGGAGGGTACTGCTACTCGCTCATCCGGGAGGGGAGGATAGGCAGGTGTGGACCTGCACCTTCTGGGTGGCCTCTGCCTTCTCCCTACCTGGTGCTGTCCTGCTTGGTTTTACTTTGTCAACTTGACACAGACTAGAGTCGTCCTGGAAGAGGGAATCTCAGCTGAGGAAAAGCCTCCCTAAGATTAGCCCGTGGGCAAGGCTGTGGTGGTGTTTTTGATTGATGGTTGATGTGGGAGGGCCCAGCTCACTGACACACCTGACCAGAGGTCCTGGGTTGCATAAGAAGAGCAGGCTCAGCGAGCCAGTAAGCAGCCCCCCTCCATGGCCTCTGCTGGTTCCATTTGCGTTCCTGCCCTGACTTTCCTCAGTGATAAGGTGTGCCCTGAGAAAGTTGCTTTTGGTCATGACATTTCATCACAGTAACAGAAACCCCGAGAAGACAGGTGCCTTTCAAAGATTGATGCTTGGGCATCAGTTTGAAGACACGTTGTCATAAACAGGAAGCTCCGTCACCTTTTCTGAATTGTGCAACGATTAGGAATGCTCCTTGGAAGTATTATCTTACCTTGGTATTTTTCCTTAATTTTAAAGTGTAATAATTAACGTGTGTGTGTGTGTGTGTGTGTGTGCGCACGCGCGCGCACGTGCATGTGCATGTCTATGCATGTGCCGGTGCATGTGTGTATGAACGTGTAGAAGCCAGAGATTAACCTCAGATGTCATTCCTCAGGAGCCACCTCCTGTTTTTGACACAGGGTTCCTCACTGGTGGGCTGGCCAGGTGGAGGCTGTGAGGATGGCCAGTGTGCTGCCGTGTTTGGCTTTTTATGTAGGTGGGGATTGAACTCAGGTCTCCAACCTCACACAGCAAGCCCTTTACCAACCCAGCGGTCTCCCCGACCCAGCTTTGGCCCTCTCTCGTGCTCACTTCCTCCTCCTGTCTACTATGAAGAAGCCCTCTACCACTGCCCCTCCACCAACATGCTCTGCTCAAGCCCAGGAGACACAGCATCCGTGACAGAACCTTCTAGAACTGTGAGCCCAAATGCCCCTCCCCCCAGGATGTGTTTTGCCAGATATTCACAGTGACAAGAAAATCTAATAAAGACAAGGGCACAGAGCCACTGAGGGTTGATGTGACCTGGCTGCTTGGCAGCAAGGTCAATAGAATCTCAGTAGATTCCAAACCAGGCTCTCTGGGCCACCGTATGGGAGAAGGGTTATCCTACTTCAAAGCACGCTTGTGCGTGCGTGCCTCTCTCTGTGTGTGTGTGTGCGTGTGTGTGCGTGTGTTTGCAGGTGAGCTTTCCTTACCTGATGTGTGTGTAGAGCCTGTGGATGGGCACTAGGGGAAGGCAGGCCCCTGTTTGGCTCCTCTGGGCCCACTCGGGCCCTTCTCCACCTCCTGGCCCGGCGGTCTGCGGTGTGTGGGGCCTCTTCTGGATCGCTACTATCAGATGTCTCTCCGATGGCTGCCTGGGGGTTAAAATTCACATCCAGCTCTTCATGGTGGCGCATCTTCTCTGCCGTGGGGGTCTTGGGAGCCTTCCTCTGCAGCCAGGACAGCCTAGCCCGGCGTCCAGCTTCCCGAGAGGAGCTAGAAGTCTCTGAATCAGAACCCATGGCCTCAGGGTTTGAGGAAGAGGTGGCTAAGGGACCTTGGCCGAAACACTGAGCCTGTGCAGACTGAAGCTGGGATTGCTTGGATCTGCCCTGGGGCAGCGGGCACAGCTTACTCAAGGCTTCGCTATAGTCAAAATCTTCCTCACTGTCAGAACCTATCTCATCGTAGGCAGATGTCACACTGGACGCCACCTCCAGGGCCTGGAAGGTCCCACTCTTCGGTTTGGCCAGCAGGCGGCTTGGGGGCCGAGTACCATCACCCTTCAAGGCCATCCAGTTCCCATCCGGGCTCTGCAAAACCGGGGCCAGACCTGTGGGGTAGAGAGGGGAGAGAAAGCAGAGGGGCCGTTATCACTGTAGCAGCCAACTGGGCAGCATTGTCTCTCATGACTGGCGCCTGTGAATTTGTGGAGAAACTGCCTTTAGGAAGAGCAGGCACGCACACCCGACTCACAGGAGCGCCACGGATGGGTATCATCAATATCAACCTCTCCCATCCGAGGCTCGGGGAGCACCATGGGAGCGGAGAAGAAGGACTGTGAGAGCGAGGGTGGGGAGGAGGGCCCCACTTCGAGCTACACAAATGATACAGGCTTTCTAATCATGGCTCCATGGAATGGCGATCCCCACGGAGCCATGTCATTGTCTGGTCACTGCACAACTCCAGCCTGGAGGAAAGCAGATGCTGGCGGAGTGTGTGTTTTCCGCCCAGTGACCCAGTTCCACAGCGACTGCCTACTGCCAGAACACTGAGTTCTCCTTTCTCTGCGGGCCAGAAACCAGGGCTTTCCTGCACCGTGAGGACACTGGAGCCCCACCACCAGAAGATGTGACTTGGGAAACTTCTGGAAGCCTCAGCCACTCCCCCTGCCACTCCCTATTCTATTACTCATACCCTGTGGTCACCCCCAGGCCCTCTATTCCCGGAGTCTGTTCTCAACCCCTGGCCTTCCAGGCTGGCTTTCCATCATCTGCCTCGTGTTCTGGCTGACCACGTACATGGCTCAGCAGCCTCCAGATGACAAGCCCGAGGCAGGACCTGGATCCCAGCCACCTGCCCGTCGAATAGGCAAATTAGTCTGCTCTGCCCTGGGCACAGGTTTCACAGTAAAAAGGACAGAGGTCTCCAGGCCCTGGGCATGCAGCACTCAAAGCCAGCAGCAGCTGTGGGAGCCTCAGGCTCCCCTCTTCTCTCACTGGTGAAAAAGGACAGTTAACAGATCCCTAGGTCGTCATGAGAAGGACACCTGGAAAATGCTTGGTAGTACCATACCTGCTCAGAGGAGAGGAATCGTGTGTGTGTGTGTGCACAAGAGAGTGTTTGTGTGCATCCTTGTGTGTGTGTATAGATGTATGTGTGTGCATGCTTGTGCTTGTGTGTGTATGTGTGCATGTGTATGTGTTCATGCACATACATGTATGCACACTACATGTATGTGGTTGCCCATGCTTGTGGAGCCTGCAGTTGATCTTCCAATTACGTGGCTCTTCCTCCTTACTCTATGAGGTGGGATCTCCCAGTCAAAGCAGAGCTCACCGATATGCTACTCTCCCTAGCCGGCTTTCTCTGCCTTTGGGGCTGGAATTTCAGGCGGCTGTCATGCCCACCAGGCACTGACCCAGGGTTCTGAATTCTGGTCTTCACATTTGAGCAGCAAGTGCTTCAACCACGGAGCCATCCCCTGGCCTTCTACCTTCATTTCAAAGACAGGGTCTCCCACCGAAGCTGCCTCTCACTGATCCAGCTCAACTGCCTGGTAGAAACCCAGGGATCCTCCTGTAGCCTTGGAAAATGATTTAATTTTTACCTACGTATATGTATGCATGTCTGCTAAGCTCAAGTCCTCAGGTTACATTAGCCTCTGCCCCTGGTGGGGGTCAAAGTCACAGGACCCCCGAGGGGCGTGCACCAGAGGGAGGGAGAGCTAAGCCTAGTCCGAGTTCTGGGTGCGGCCTTGACATGGGACTGTGAAGTTTCCCCTAGCCCAAGACCAGATGGCAAAGGAGGAGTCTTCCCACACAAACCTCCATGCCTGGTTCCAGGACGGTCAGGTCAGAAATGTGGTACTTGTGCCCCGATAAATGACACAGGGCGGGGTGACAGTCAACCCGCCAGGGGTTGCAGTGACAGCAGAGGAAGATGGGGAGGAGACAAAACCGGAAGTGGGGGCACAGAGAGGAGAGGGAGGGAGAGGAGGAACACAGAAGGAGGAGAGAAAGGACAGAGAGAAGGGACAGGAGAAAGGAAGAGGTAGGGAAGAGAGAGGAAAGAGGAAGAGAAAGGGGACACGAGCATGCTGGGATAAAAAGTAGTTAAAAACCAAAACCATAAAAGTGCACAGATAAAGCAAGTGCTGGGCTGTCATCTCTGAGTGTTGGGCTGCACAGTCTACTCGTGTCAGCTACTCCACCTATCAGCTACTCCACCCATCAGCTTCTCTATCCATCAGCTACTCCACCTATCATCAGCTACTCCACCTATCATCAGCTACTCCACCCATCAGCTACTCTATCATCAGTCATTCTGCCCATCAGCTACTCCACCTATCAGCTACTCCACCCATCAGCTTCTCTATCCATCAGCTACTCCACCTATCAGCTACTCTACCTATCATCAGCTACTCCACCTATCATCAGCTACTCCACCTATCATCAGCTACTCCACCCATCAGCTACTCTATCCATCAGTCATTCTGCCCATCAGCTACTCCACCTATCAGCTACTCTACCTATCATCAGCTACTCCACCTATCATCAGCTACTCCACCTATCATCAGCTACTCCACCCATCAGCTACTCTATCCATCAGTCATTCTGCCCATCAGCTACTCCACCTATCAGCTACTCCACCCATCAGCTTCTCTATCCATCAGCTACTCCACCTATCAGCTACTCTACCTATCATCAGCTACTCCACCTATCATCAGCTACTCCACCTATCATCAGCTACTCCACCTATCATCAGCTACTCCACCCATCTGCTACTCTATCCATCAGCTATTTTACCCATCAGCTACTCTACCCATCAGTTACTCCACCCATCAGCTACTCTACCTATCAGCTACTCCACCGTCAGCTTCTCCACCCATCAGCCATTCCACCCATCAGCTACCCACCAGGGGTTAGAGGATTAACAGAAAAATTATCTCTTATGGGAAATCTCCAGATTAACAGATATTGAACATTTCTGAGTCTCTGGGCTGGGCAGATTTTGCTCATAGGCTGTTGGTTAGTTATAGAGCATCACTTCTCAGGTGGCCACTTGCTGTTAAGTATTTTTGCTATTTGGAAAAGAGATTTGGGTCTGAGCAACAATGCAGGTTGAGGGACAACATAGGGGTCCATCTGCATGTGTTTACTAGGTGAGGAGCAGACATGAGCTAGAGGGCACAAGACCCCCAAGTGTGGGGCTTCATAGCCCCTGGCTTCTATTTACATGATCGCTCACAACCACTGCAACAGAGCTTGGGAAAGCAACTGAGCTTATATAAGACTCAACAGCTTTATAAAGGGCCACGCGTCACAGATGTCAATGTGAGTTCCATCCCCTAAGGGAGAGGCAGAGCATTCTAGAAGTAAGCAGGAAGACCATATGCACAAGCAAACAAACCATAGTACCATCCCTTAGGACAGGCCCTTTCATGCCCCCCCACATGCACGCACACACACACACACACACACATACACACACACGCACGCACGCACGCACACACAAGCTGAAAGGCCATGTGATAGCTGGCAAGACTCCCAACAGCACCCGTGAAACCCACTTGGAGCCAGGGAGTGGTGGCACACATCTGTAATCTCAGCATTGAGAAGAGGAGGATCAGGTGTTGAAGGCCATCTTTGGCTGCACAGGGAGTCAGGGATAGCCGGGGCCCCATGAGGTCTTGTCTCAACAAAACAAAGAAAAACAACCCATTACTTGTTCCGTCCAGTGCATCCATGCTCTTCCAGCTGGGCAGAGTGGACTCCTCCAGCAGATGCTGGCCACGCTCCCTGGACCGCCTCGGTGCAGCCTCTGCTGAACAGGTCTTCGGGTCATCTTCTGTGGTGAAGGAGATTGCAGACCGGGACCGCTGTGGAAAGTGGGGTGAGTGAGCTTAAAGCACGGCCCCAGGGTGAGGGCCGGCAGCTCAACCGTGAACACAGTCCAGCAAGCAGAGGACACTCACTGCACAGCGAGGACGGGGAACTTGGGACCCTTGAGCACACTGTCTCCCGGATGGGTGCTGCGACACCCCGCGCCCTCCTGTCCCAGTGGCAAATGCACTTTTTGCCTTCTCCCACCACCAGGGAGAGCAAAGGAGACACAGAGTGGTCTCTCAGAGATATGTAAGCAGGGTGTGGCACGCTCCAGGGAGGAACACGGGAGTCCGTGCTGGCCAACAATCTGGAAACTCCCTGTCCTCTGTGCTCAGCTCTGTGACAGCTTCAAAAATGCCCAGGGCTGGGAGATGGCTCAGTCAGACAACTGCTTGCTGTGTTAGCATGAAAACCCACATTAACCCCGAGAACCCACACTGAAAAGCCAGGCATGGCCACTCCTCCAGCACTGGGAGGCTGAGATGGGCAGCTCCCTGGGATTTGCTGGCGAGCCCATCTGGCAAGCACCAGACTAGCAAAGGACTCCGTATCAAAAACAACAAGGACAACTTCCAAGGAATGACACCTAAGGCAGCCACACACACACACACACACACACACACACACACACACACAGTGCTGAAACGCATGTCTGGGTTTTGGGAAGGGGTGGTGCTCTCACTGAGCACGCCCCCCCCCCCAAGGACTCTTACTCCATCTGGGAAAAGACTCCACACCCAGCATGCTCAGGAGCTCTCAGACCGGGACCCCACAGCTTACCATGGGGAATATGGTACAAGCCAGTGTGGGCTCAGGGCCGTAAAACCCTCTAATCCTTCCAGAAAGACATGGAGGGGCCATATAAGAGGAAGGGCTTGTAAGTGGGGGAGGTCCTACTCATAGGAGAGTTAAGCAGGCACATGACACATGGCAAGCAGCCACACTGCGTCCCCAGGATGCAGGAGGTATGCATCCCTGCCTCCAGAATCCGGAACAGTCCTGGTAATGTCACAACATAGGGCAGGGCAGTCAAGGAGTTATCTATCCATGATTAAGAGGCCTCAGAGTCATTGCAATGAGAGCTTCTCCCAGCAGGTGGCGCTGCAGCGCTCGTGTGCCTACCAGGAAGTGTGGGGATTACTTGAGTAGTTGGCTTTCTCGTTACCCTGACTCACTCTCTCCCAGCTGTGGTCTCTGCTTTTCTTCCCTTCTAACCCACACGGGGGGCCTGTGGGGGAAGAAATGGGGGCTGCAACCGGAGGAGGCTCTTTTACCTCAACGTGAGGGTCTCAACCCTGCCCTGTGAGCTGGGGAAGACGGCTCTGTTGGTAAAGTGTTTGCCCCACAGGCACAAAGACCTGAGTTCGATTTCCCAGAGCCCACACTTAAGAGCTGGACACAGTGGGGCACACGTCATACCCCAGTGTTGGGAAGGTGCAGACAGAGGCTGGCAGCTGGCTTGGCTGAGTCGGAGAATTCCAGACCAGAAGCAGACCCCCATCTCAAAAGATCAAGGGGGACTGTGCTTGAGGAATGACACCTGAGGTTGACCTCTGACCTCCACACACACACACACACACACACACACACACACACACACACGCATCTTCATTTTCCATAATTGGTCTCCATGTAGAAACTTCCCAGCAACCTGCGCGTGCCCTCAGCTCTGGGCTCTCCCCTGCTCCCTTCCACAATCCCTGCTTTCCGCTAGGACCCAGAAAGCATAAGCATACTCAGATGGCAAAATGCCTCACCCTTTTCTGTGGGAGAATGTCTCTGACACACAGTGTGTGTGTGTGTGTGTGTGTGAGAGAGAGAGAGAGAGAGAGAGAAGTGTGTGTGTGTGTGTGTGTGTGTGAGAGAGAGAGAGAGAGAGAGAGAGAGAGAGAGAGAGAGAGAGAGAGAGAGAGAGCAGTGCTGTCCTGACTTACCCAGAGCGTAGCACGTGCCTGGTGTTGTCCTGGAGAGGCTGTGGTCCCCTCATCCTTGGCCTTCACACCTCCACTCTGGGGTCGAGGCCACTCTGGCCCATCTTCCTCCGCTGGAGACTCAGCTTTGTTTTTCTGCTTTCTTATGATCTGGGGGAACGGGGAATATGTCACTGAAGATGCTTCTGGAGGCTGTGACTGGGCTCATCTTTGGGGTGCTTTCCCGGCCACCCAGGGACCAAGCTCCAACTGCGTGCTTCAGATCTACCTTTACTGAAAGGGCACACACTGCCTCAATGACCTACAATTCCTGTCCCTGACGAGTGCAGCCACCCCTCTCCATGTGCAGGGGACCACCCTGGGAACCAGCCTCCCTCACAGCTCCCCCATACCACCGATGTGGCTTGGGAAAGGGCTTGCCATGCAAACATTAAGTTCCGAGTTTGCCCCCCACCCCCACCCCAGAACCCTTGTAAGAAAGCTGGCGGGTGGTTCACAGTTGTAATCCTAGCACCAGGGAGGCGGAGACAGGAGGATCCCTAAGGCTCACTGGCCAGCTGACCTAGCCTAACTTGTGGGTCCCACACCCCAGTAGGAAACCATATATCAAAAACCAAGATGGCCTGGGGTGGATATAACATGGTACAGCGTTTGTTTAGAGAAACCATAGTCTCCCTGTATAAGCACCTGATATGTGTGTTATTAAAATAGTTGACGGGGCTCGCCATTTGGGGGAACAGCAACGAGAAAAAAGTCTACATGTTAAGTAAAGATGTAGCCGTCACGGGTGTAATTGTGTGGTAGGAGGCAGGTGGTGATCAAATGACAGGCGAGGGAAGGACTAACTAAGGCTTTGGGAAACGGTGGAAGGCCACAGCAGTTAAGCTCGCATGTGTTTTTTTGTCCACGTGGACTCAGCCTACTGCTTGGTACAGCAAGCTCAAGCTGTCGTCCTGGAATCTTCTGGAATTCCTTTTCCCACATATTTTGGATGCTTGGTTGACTGGACCTGTGTGTAGGTAAGGAGCCTGTGGCTGTTGGACTCCGTGCTGGGGACTACAGAGTAATTCTGGGAGATGTACACTTCTCCCCACTGGACAGGTGGGAGCGCAGGTCCAGAGTGATCACGTATCAGCTAAAGCTGCATAGCACAGAGGTCTTTGGCGGTAGGTGCTGACCTGAGGAAGCATCTGGAAGCCTGGAGGAGTGGCAGCTCTCAGCTGTGCTGCTATAACATGTGCTCTTAGTGGGTCCATTGGCAGAGATTCCCCTGGGCCCTAACTTCCACAGACGGGCAGCTGAAAGCAGCAAGACACCAAGATGGGGCTCTCCGGGGGTAAGTATGTACATGTCTGTGTGTGCACACGTGTGCAGGTCAGAAGTCAGGGGGTATGTATGTACATGTCTGTGTGTGCACACGTGTGCAGGTCAGAAGTCAGGGGGTAAGTATGTACATGTCTGTGTGTGCACACGTGTGCAGGTCAGAAGTCAGTGGGTATGTGTGTACATGTCTGTGTGTGCACACGTGTGCAGGTCAGAAGTCAGGGGGTAAGTATGTACATGTCTGTGTGTGCACATGTGTGCAGGTCAGAAGTCAGTGGGTATGTGTGTACATGTCTGTGTGCACACGTGTGCAGGTCAGAAGTCAGTGGGTATGTATGTACATGTCTGTGTGTGCACACATGTGCAGGTCAGAAGTCAGTGGGTATGTATGTACATGTCTGTGTGTGCACACATGTGCAGGTCAGAAGTCAGTGGGTATGTGTGTACATGTCTGTGTGTGCACACGTGTGCAGGTCAGAAGTCAACCTTCAATGCCCTGTTCAGTCTCTCTCTTTTTGCAAACATGGTCTCATATTGAACCTGGATTTTGCCTACTGGGCTATGCTGGCTGCTGACCAGTGAACCCCAGGGATCCATGCGCCTTCCCCTGGGATGAAAACACAAGCTACTCAGTGTGTGCAGGGAGCATTTTCCTGAAGCAAGTGGTCTCCCGACAGAGTGGATGCCATGGCTTGCTTCCTTCTGCTCTCTGAACTTTGGTCATGGCATCAGCAAATGGGTCCACTCCACAAGTTTGCTCTCTAGCTCTCCAGCCCCTGGCCGGCCCCTGCAGCTGTCTGAGCTGTCCTACCCTCTGCAGGATGGTGGTAGCCAGCTCCTCAGTCAGCTCTTCCTTGTGGTCCCGCAGGTAGCTGGCCTCATTCTGTTTGTCCTGTGGAAGGAAGAGAATGGAGGGGTAACTGTCACAGTGGTCCTGGCAACAGTGAAGAGGAGGCCACACCCAGCCTTACTCAATGCTGCAGTGACATGGGCCCCCGGCCATCTGCACTTGCTCCTGACAGCCAGCATGCTGCCACCCCCGCCACAGGAGGAAGGTCCTACCAGGCTGTCCCCGTGGGATTCTGCTTTGGAAATAGCTTCCTCAATGGCTTCTTCTGCCACTCGTAGGGCGACAGCCAAGGTGTCCATCATGCTGTGTCCTAGGGAGGGACAGAACACAGCACAGGTCACAAACCTGGGGTCCCAGGGCACACTCGAGCTACTCAGGATGGAGCATGAGCCCACTGTCATCTGCGTCCACCCCACCACCTCCTCCTTTATCACCCACGTCCCATATCATGAGCTTGAGTCTCCCTCTCCCTTCTCCGCCTTCTGGTACCTGCTGGGTAACCTAGATGGTTCTGGGGGCCTGCCAGAAAACCTTTCCCTTCCACATTCTCAGACAGAAAAGGTTCCATTTTGTACATTCTACCGTTGTGAAGATATGGATAGAAATTATTAAATGTCCTGAAGACACTGGGCTGTGAACACGGCTTAAAGCAAACACTGGGGCCATAGACCAGTGTCGGTAAATAACAAGACAGAATTGAGCACATGCTAGGCCCAGAGGAGAGTTTCACATCTGTAATCTCTATGGTGATCCAGTGAGGTGCCTGTGGTCAGTTTCACATCAATAGTCACTATCGTAATCCAGTGATGCATGGTGTGGTCACACTGTACAGATGGGATCCAGTGAGATCACACTGCACAGGTGGGATCCAGTGAGGTCAGTGAGGTCACACTGCACAGGTGGGATCCAGTGAGGTCAGTGAGGTCACACTGCACAGGTGGGATCCAGTGAGATCACACTGCACAGGTGGGATCCAGTGAGGTCAGTGAGATCACACTGCACAGGTGGGATCCAGTGAGATCAGTGAGGTCACACTGCACAGGTGTGATCCAGTGAGGTCAGTGAGATCACACTGCACAGGTGGGATCCAGTGAGATCACACTGCACAGGTGGGATCCAGTGAGATCACACTGCACAGGTGGGATCCAGTGAGGTCAGTGAGGTCACACTGCACAGGTGGGATCCAGTGAGATCACACTGCACAGGTGGGATCCAGTGAGGTCAGTGAGGTCACACTGCACAAGTGGGATCCAGTGAGGTCAGTGAGGTCACACTGCACAGGTGGGATCCAGTGAGGTCAGTGAGGTCACACTGCACAGGTGGGATCCAGTGAGATCACACTGCACAGGTGGGATCCAGTGAGGTCAGTGAGGTCACACTGCACAGGTGGGATCCAGTGAGATCACACTGCACAGGTGGGATCCAGTGAGGTCAGTGAGGTCACACTGCACAGGTGGGATCCAGTGAGGTCAGTGAGGTCACACTGCACAGGTGGGATCCAGTGAGATCACACTGCACAGGTGGGATCCAGTGAGGTCAGTGAGGTCACACTGCACAGGTGGGATCCAGTGAGGTCAGTGAGGTCACACTGCACAGGTGTGATCCAGTGAGGTCAGTGAGGTCACACTGCACAGGTGGGATCCAGTGAGGTCAGTGAGGTCACACTGCACAGGTGGGATCCAGTGAGGTCAGTGAGGTCACACTGCACAGGTGGGATCCAGTGAGATCACACTGCACAGGTGGGATCCAGTGAGGTCAGTGAGGTCACACTGCACAGGTGGGATCCAGTGAGGTCAGTGAGGTCACACTGCACAGATGGGATCCAGTGAGGTCACACTGCGCAGAAGGATCTGTGACGCTCACACTGGCTGGGTAATTTGCCCAAGGTCACACAGGAAGATAGCAGAGGGTCACTATCGCATCCACTATCCATCCACGCTGAGAAAGCCCTTGCAGAGTGAAATGAAAGCAAGACAACACAGTCATTTAAAATAGCACAGTAGTGTGTGTGTGTGTGTGTGTGTGTGTGTGTGTGTGTGTGTGTACAAAGAGGTCCCAGGCTGATGTCCAGAACTGTCCTCTGGACACACTTTTTTTTTTTGAGATCGGGCCTCTCACTGAACCTGGACTCACTGATTCAGCTGGCCAGCATCCACCTGTCCCCACCTCTCTGGAACTGGGTTAGCAAGAGTAAGTAGCTTCTGCTTTTAGGTAGCTGATGGAGACTGAACTCAGAAATTCACACTGTAGCCAATCTCCATCAGTCACAGGAATCATGGGTTTCGTTTTCTCTAATTTTACCCCCTATTGACACTTATAATCCAGCCCTGTACTGTTATCTCATGCCGATCTCGTGTGAGCTGCTGGACATCGTTTGTGAAATGAGTCAGAGTGTGATCACATTCACTCATTCATTCGTCACTCACCCAAGGGCCTTACATTCCTAAAGACACCGATGCGGCCAGAACCTGGCATTCAGAAGAAATAATAAATGCTCTAAAACAAACCCAGCTAAGGCCAGCTGACTCAGGGGGAGGATGTGTGCCACTCTGACAGTCACAACAGACAGACAGACTGCACACTGTGGTCTAGCAGACGGAGCACAGTCCCTGTAAGTTCCAATAAGAACCCATGAGGAGCATCTGCAAGTTGTTACCACGCCAAGGACTCCTTGGAGACGGGAACTCTACCTCCCAACTTTCCAGGATGCTCATCCTGGAAAAACGGACTAAAAATAATTTTTAAAATATTTTTAATATTTTAAAATATTTAATATTTTAAAAATATTAAAAATTGCTACATTTGAAATTACAGTGTATGTGTCTTGTGTGCATGTGTCTGTCTGTCTGTCTCTCTCTCTGTGCTGCAGCATATGTGTGGCAGTCAGAGGACAACTTGTGGGAGTCAGTTTTCTTCTACCATGTGGTCCCAGGGATCGAACTCAGATCGTCACGCTTGACTTGAGGCATCATTACCTGCTGAGACATCTCACAGTCCTGATGTATTGCTTTACTGTTAGTATACATTAATAGTACACAACACTAGGTTTTGTTGTGATGTGTATACAACATACTTTGGTCATATTTTACAACTGTGCTTTCACAGAGCCGGCCCACACAGTCTCAGCCAACATGATTGAGCAACTCCACTGCACTGAGCTCTAGGCTGATTTCCAGATGCCCTGCTACACTACAGAGTTCATGAACTCAGTTATTTTCCCAGACAGTGGACAGGATAGGTACTCAACTGGGCATGTGTGTGATGGGGAATGGTTACCAAGTCCCAGAAAGGCTTTAGATGCCTTTCTCTAGGACGAGGGTATTGGTATAAAATATGGAATCTGTAAATTATAGGAAGAATTTCACACAGGAAGCACAGGTCCCTGGCCTGATTATCATCTTACAACCCCAGAGCTCTCGCTGGTCCATCACCACACGGCTATGCTCACAGTGAGTCCGTCCAGCAGCCTTTCCAGCCCTGCAACCTCCCAGCAGCTATCAGTCACGCAGCCTTACCTTCCGACTGCCTGTAGAATGTGGAGTCACTTCCGGAAATGCTCCCTTCATTCTCCAGGTTTAGTTCGAATGGTCCTCCTCCTACAGGAGAGAAGAACACAGCCGTGGACGGTCTCTGACGAACACGGATGCGCTTGAGCTGAGGAGCTGGCGCACGACCCACAGTAATGAAGCCTGCTTTGCCAATGGGTCGACGGGATCACTAAAGGCTACAAGGATCCAGTCTTTGACCCAACGTGTCACTCTGCGCAGTGGTTTTTAGTGCAACTTTACCGTAACCTCCTTCTAGTACCCTCTGCTATGGCGTGAGTACATTTTCTTTCCAAACTCACAATGAACGCTGACCCTCAAGCTGATGGTACTGGAAGAACCCACGCCCGTATCGGTGGGTTAAATGTATACTGTAAGTGTAGTTATTCAAGAGTAGGTTTGTCGTGAATGACCGCTCTTCCTTTCTTGGTCGTTCATGTTTGGCCTGCTGTTTTACCTCCTGCCCTGGATGGTACAGCAAGAAGGTTCTTCTCAAGGGGATGGAGAGGTGGCTCAGTGATCAAGACAGCTTTACTGCTCTTCCAGAGGACCCAAGTTCAGTTCCCAGCACCCACGTCAGGAGGCTCACAACCATCTGTAACTCCAGCTCTGAGAGATCGGATGCTTCTCCTGGACTCTGCAGGCAATACACTTGTATATGAGCTTGTGAGAGCTCACACCACACACACACACACACACACACACACACACACACACTCACACACACACGAGGGAGAGAGGGTGTAGGGAAGGATGGAGGAGAGTCTTTCCCAGGCTCTCAAACTTCCAGCTGAAGAGACTTCTCTTCCTAAGGTGCCCAGTCTTGTGGATTCTGATGTAGCAGCCTCTGCTGGACTAAGACCTCTCTGGAGCTTGTGTTGGGGAAAGGCTGAGCAGCGGGGTAAAGCCTGGGAATGTGAGGCCGGTTGTGTGACCTGTTGCATCATCTTCAGCAAGTCACAGCCCTCTTTGGCCCTTCACCTCCCTCCCTTCCTAAAAAACAGGCACATGGGTGGTGTCCTGCTGTGTGAAGCGGCACCTCATTCATCTTTAGATGGAGGCCACAGCAGCCGCCCTGAACAAATGGTTTAACTGCCACCCTTGTAGAAGCATCCGTGTACTGCAGGCCGGGAAAAAGTGAGGCAAGCTGCTGTATTTGATCTCCTATGGCTACAGCTGCGGCTGACTCTCTCAGTTAAACACACCTTCTTGCGAGCTTGAGAAAGTCTAACGGGGTCCACAAAAGGCCCTGAGGACTCTCAAGTACAATGCCTCCATCCCGTCTCCACGTTATCTATGCGGCAGACATATTTTTAGATAAGACACAACCAAGACCACGGCAATGTAAAATAATGATGACAAAAAGCTGCAAACCAGGAGGATGAGGGTCTTTTTCATTCCCCGATTCTCGTGGACAGAAAGCATTTACCCATGTCGTAGTCATCCTCCTGGCCGCCTTCAGAGGACCAAAGAGAGGGATTTCTCATCCCCAGTAACTCGTGTCCTACGTGTCTAAACTTTGCCCTTTGGGCTTCCCAGGAGGACACCGACAGACACTCTTGTGACTTTTCTAGGATGCCGGATTCTGCATCTGTAAACATAACCCGGACTATGGAGAGTGGCTGTGCACACTCGGGAGACGACTTTCTGGTGTCTTGTCACCAGGGGACAGTGGCTGAGAGTCATCTCTAGGGGCTGGGGAGGCGGCTCACTGGTCAGAGCCCTGCTGCATAAGCCCAAGGGCCAGAGTTCTAATCCCCAGGGTCAGCGCACGAAGCTGGGCGTGGCCTCCCACGCTTGTGACTCCAGTGCTGGGGGAAGATGAGACAGGAGAACTGGTGGGGCTTGGGGGCCACCAGACTACTTCCAGGTCAGTGGGGGATCCTGCATCAAGGGAGTAGAGAAGGCTAGAGTCTTCCTTTGGCCTTCACATACACGTGCACAGGTGCGCGCGTGCACACACACACACACACACACACACACACACACACGACTTGTAAGAATCCATAACTAAAACACCTACAGTTTGCTGAAATAGTTTTGTCTTCCAAGCTTTCAACATGTCTAGTCCAGTAGGGACGCTCAAAGCCCATGAGCTGGGGCTGGAGAGATGACCTGGTAAAGTGTTTGCTGAAGACCCAAGTTCAATTCCCAGCAGGAAAAGCTGATCATGGCGGCACATGCATTTAATCCCACACTAGGGGCTGGGGGAGAGGGCAGTGGCTCACAGAGAAGTGGCTCTCTGGGTCTCACTGGCCAGCCAGTCTAGCCTACAGGTGAGTTCCTGACCCGTGAAAGACCCTGTCTCGAATAACAAGGCAGACAACTCTTGAGGAACAATACTGGAAGCCCTCCTACCCCTGGCTTCACACACATGTGCATGCATACCCACACACATATGCATTCACATACAGATGTATGCATACATAAAAACAAAACCCTGACTTAAAACACGACACTCCCTGCAACCTGCCCTCTTCCCAGAACTAGCCATTTAAAAAAGTTTCTCTGTCCCTACAAAGAGTGTGCACGCCCAAGAATGGGGCCTCCCAGCCCAGCCCTCTCCTCCACTCACTCCCAGCCACCAAGACCTCCCGGAGCAGCAGGCAGTGGTTACCTAAGATGTCGAAGCAGGCTCCGCTCTCCAGACGGTGTTTCCTGTACAGGTTCTTCAGGACCTTTGCGCTGCCAAAACGCTTGAAGCGACTCTTCACGTTGCTGTAGAACCATTCCAGAGACTGCGTCCTCAGAAGCCTGTTAGACCAGAGGGTTAGAACTGCAGAACCACTACCGTACTTGGCAGCCCCTCCACAAAGAGGTGGCATTTGTGCCTCAGCCTCTAGACACTGGCCTGTCCTGTCCACTGCCTCTGGCTGCGGAGAGCAGGCGAGTGAGGCTGAGCCCCAAGCCCGCAGATGCCGCCATGAATGCTTTGGGGTCCCGCTACCATGTGTGTGGACCCAAGCTGGCCTTCTTCTCTGTGATGGAGACCTTTGGTGACCCAAGCTTCTGAGAGGTGAGTGAGGTTATCGGCCACCAGTTGGCCAGAGACGCACAGGGGGCCCTGGCTGAGAAGCGGGACCTGTCTGAGTCTCCCCAGTGAGCCAGTAGATGCTTGCTGTTTTGAGCCTCTGTGTGGCTTATTAATGTAGAAAAGCTAACTCATAGAAACATCTGTTTAACAGTGGGCTTTTTACAGCGGATATGCTTACCATATCATCAGCACTTTTGATCCAGCTTGGAGAAATAAAAAGAACCAATGGGCAGGCAAAAGGCTCACGACTCTTTCTCAGGCAGTGTAAAGCACCATGGGAAAGCTGTTTTTCCGTGAGCTAGGCAGCTGTGGTGCAGACACTGACAGGAGGGCTCCCTCCTGTCTGTTCAGAATGGATTATAAAACCCTTCCATTTCAGGCTTTTGTTACTTTTCTTATTACAATTGTAAAAATACACATTCCCTTTGGAAAATTCAGGAAAAGAAAAAAAAGAACATAAATATTTCCAAATTAAAAGAAAATCCTAATTCAACCAAGGAACCAGCAAACACTGGGTCTGTCTGTGTGTGGACAGCATCCTCGGGTTAGTGCCTGATCTGCAGCAAGTCAGGCCCTTTGCTCAACACAAAGCCAGAGCAATAGGAAGCCCCACAAGCAAAGAATCAGAAGAAAACTTAAAATAACCATATTGTTTCCCTTTAAATCCCACCATGCGTGGCACAAAGCAACTGTTAAGCCTTCAGTGAGCTGGTGAGTGAGTACTTTCTTAATTTCTGTTTACATGGCATGACTCAGCTGGTAAACATTGTGTGTTTTCATTCCAAGACAGACTAGCCTCCTATTTCAAGCTGAAACAAAGAATCACATTATAGCCTCACCTAGGAACCCCAGAAGGGATGAGTGAACTTGAACGCACTCTTGTGAGGAGGTGGGAGCTGCCGGCACAGAGTTCTTCTGCTCAGGTCCCAGCTGCTAGTTAGGAAGCCAGGTATCCCTAGGTGCTCACTCCAGCAAGACAGGGCATCTCGGAAGCCCCTGGATTTCCCTGCTCTGGATGGGGCTGGGGTCTGGTAGAGAAGTATAATCCAGCAAGACTAAACCCAGTCCTGCAGATCTCTCTGCTTCCCAGGGGGAGCTGGTGGCCACTAGTATGGGCGTTACCTAGGAGCACAGTGTGGATGCACAACCTCAGTCATCCACCATTTTCGTCAGGCTTGCTGGGTTAAAATCTGCATTTTAGAAAATTTCTCAGAAGGACATCCCAACCTCATGACCAAGGAGCTAGCAAAATTTACTGTATGTTTTTAAAAGTGGAATGATTATCTTGTTTTAAACCTCGACCACAAGAGACAGCCAACAGCCCACCTCATTCCGTCCCAGGTACAAAGATGAACTAAATAATTAAAACCAAACTCTCAAACGCAGGTGTGTTACCAGCAGTTTCCAGCCAGTCTGGTCCCAGAGTTTTGTCAGTCCCAAAATAACACACAGAGACTCTATTAGTTATAAAGCTGTTAGCTAATGGCTAGAGCTTCTTATTGGCTAGCTCTGTCTTAAATATTAACTCATTTCTATCAAGCTAAGTGTTTCCACATGGTTTCATCTTACCAGAGAGAGGGTCTGAACATCTTGACTTCTCTCTACTACATCTCCTAGAATCCTCCTTGTCTCCTAGTCCCACCTGTCTTGCTTTCCTATGGGCCAACAGTGCTTTATTCATTAACCAGTAAGAGAAACATATTTACAGAATGACATCTCCCATCACAGGCGCAATAGTTATAAGAAAAATACTACGACCACACACTCAAGTCTTTACACTCAGCCAGGTTTGCCAAATGATTCCTGATGGTGGCAATATACTGACATTCCTTCTCAAACTAAAGAATGTCAGCCTTCAGACCCATGCTCAAACTCAAGGTCACCTCCATCACACACTTCTAAGAAGGCAGAAATACATGGAACTGAATAGAGACTGGGGTCTGCAGGCCCGTGAAGTACTTGCCCCTAGGAAAGACGGGTACATTTCCGGGACCCCTTTGAGGTCCCGGAAATGTTCCTGTCTTTGAAGAAGTCTACTGTTCCCCCGAACATGACTAGCCACTGGCCTGCATTTTGTTCTCTGCTGCCCATGTGACCAAGAGTCACTGATTACTCAGGGTCTTCTCTTCCTTACTTACTGGAGACATGGGCAAACATGGAGCCAAATGTTATGAGGCACACTGACTGACCTAGTGTGCTGGCAAACCAGCTACAGGCTTTGGATATAGTAACAGCCAGGAATTTTTTTTTCTTTTAAATAATTAGAGATAAAGATGGGTGTAGGGACAAAACAAAAAAAAATTGCTTTTCTCTTATATGGACACTGTTAAGAGCAAGCTAGAAGGCCTTTAGTCTATTAATTGAGGTTCCAAATCCCAGAATTGACATCAGTTTGGGATGCTGGTGGGTGGCCACAGGTTTCTCTCTAAGCCACCGTGCCTGCTTCTTCTGCCAGCAGAAACCGGAGGAACCCAGAACAAGCTGGCTGGGCTATGTTGATGGTGGCTCACACAATTGGCTCAGTATTGATGAGAAACCCCAGAGACAGCCAGCCCTGCTACCAGCCCCACTCAATCCTATTCTGGAATGATAATTTCTCAACCGCTCCCAGGAAAAGGTGTCCCTGCAAGAAACTCAAAGGATTAATGACAGGTTTCCCAACACACAAATCCCTAAACAACAACAACAACAACAAAGTTTCTCTTGATCTCTGTCTTAGTCACTGAGATGAGACACCATGATCAGGGAGACTTATGAGAGAAAGCATTTCATTTGGGGGCTTGCTTAGAGTTGTAGAGTTAGTCCACAACCATCATGGCAGAGAGCAGAAATGTGTGTTGCTGGAGCAGCAGCTGTGAGCTTTACATCCTGATCCACAGGCACAGACCATGGTGTCGGCAGTGTGGGGACAGACAGACAGACACTGGGCCAGGCATGGACTTTTAACTTCAAAGCCCACTGCCTGGGACACACCTACACCAACAAGACCACCTCCTAATCCTTCTCGGTTTATTAACTGGGGACTAAGCATTAAGTATGTGAGCCTATGTGGGCCATTTTTATTCAAAGAAAATATTATTATTTATTACAAAGAAAATAATAAATATGCATCACCATTTATAAAGATGACGTGTCATTGATGGGGGATGTCTTTCTGTATATATGTTTGTCTTATTGGTTGACGAATAAAACACTGATCGGCCAGACAGGAAGTGACCTAGCATGGCAGATACTGCCACTAGCTAACCATAGAGGTGTGGAGGTCTGTACAGACAGGCAGGAAGTGACACAGCTGGGCAGAATCAGAATATAAGCAGGGACAAACCGGGAATTGCTCTCTTCTCTGAAGAGATGTAGCAAGCAAAAGAGATGCAGGTCTGGCATTCTGGGTAAGCCAAGAACACATGGAAATACTTAGATAGATAGAAATGGGTTAATAAGCAAAACAGAGCTAGCTAACAAGCCAACAGCTTTATATCTAATATAGTGTCTCTGTGTGTTATTTGGGGCTGACGGGGCTATGGGACCAGGCTGGTGGGAAAACTACTCACAACACAACATAATGCAGGCGTCTTAGATGGCATGGTACCCCATCCCACGGTGACTGTATTATCAGCATCCAAACTACTATATCCAAAGCCCCTCTCGCTCTCTGAAAGGATGTGGATATAACCATCAAATAAATGCTAAGATCAGATTCATCAGGAAAAATAACATTCAAGTTTTACATCACCCTTCACTTTCTTCTGAGACAGGATCTTACTACATAGCCCAGGCTAACCCTGAACTTGAGTTTCTCCTGCCTCCGCCTCCTGAGTTCTAGGGTCAAGCATGTACTATCATGGTTGGGCTTCTTACGTTACGTCCTAACTAAAGAGCGAGTCTTCTTGATCAATGTGTTTCTTAGCATTTGGTAGCTCTGAAAGGCAGTCCACTCTGCTACCACAAGGCTGGCTGATTTCCGTTGCTGGGCCCCTCCCAAACGTCCTTGCCTCAGCAGGTCTTGAGTGAGGCTTGAGAACATCACTTTAGCTTTGAACCCTTCCCAGGGGAGATGGGGCCGCCGGTCCAAGGACTGCACTGCACTTGGAGGCTTGCTGAGCTGGAAGACAGACTGACAGGTCCTGAAGACCCCGGAAGACACGAACACAGCTGATTGAGAGGGAATTGTCTGTGGGAAACCAGCAGCCCATCACTTGGGTGCTTCTGTCACTCGAGGGATTGCTACATCCCCAACAACCAGAATATCTGCGGTACTACATCAGAGCATTCGTATTTGCAAAGTTCAGAGATGCGCAGACTCTGGGTGGAAAAGAACAGCTTGCAGGCGGGGACCCAGGGAGTGTCACTGAGAATGTGCAGGTGTAAGTAGCTAGGGGGCCTGAGGTGTTATGCCAGGTTGACATCAACGCAAAGCAGTTTGCTAAGGTGAAGGAACGGGAACCAACAAGGAGCAAGAGGGAAGGAGGGCCAGGGATGGAGGCAGAGATGCCGGTGACTGAGCCACGGCCTGTCCTCCACCTGCTGTTCTTCGCCATCAGCACTACACTGTTACATCCAAAGCCCAACAAAAGCCAGTTGCCGTGACAATATTCCTGAAAAAGCAGCTTCAGGAAGGAAGGGTTATTTTGGCCCACAGTTCAAAGGTACAGACCATGATGGCAGGAAAGCCATGGCCACAGGTGCTCCAGGCAGCCGGACAAGCTGTATTCACTGTCAG